TTTTTAACCAGTTACTGCAGTTTATAGGTTACACACATGAGCGACTCGGATGCCTGTGCAGAAGCAAATCTTTCCTCTGGGCTGGACAGCGTGGAGTTTGGACAGGATACGGCCAGTATCCGGAGTCAGTGTGGTCAGGACTTCACAGTTACTGCAAGAAAACATACAAAAACCCAGGAGTCAACACCTTCAGTTGTTACCTTAACAGGTAATTAAATCTGACACACAATTTAATACACAACACTGTCAAATGAGTTTGTGCCAATTCCAAATAATCCCAGTAAAGTACACATTTAACAAATTAACAATTGGTTAATATTAATATTAAAATACTAAATATTAATTAGAATTAGCTCTGTCAAAGCAGTGTGGTGTACTAAAGAGCAGCTTTCATAAATAGCAGGTCAGACTGGTGGTTAAAGGAAGTGCTCCTCATTTAGAAACCATATGGTTTGATCGTTTTGATGTTGTGCAAATGTCTGTTTACATTAACCACGGGTTGGAAAAGAGCTAGCACAGCTCATGTAACACCTGCTTATCTTTTGTAAAAATGCTTATGGTTAACCAGAAAACAGTATTAAACCTCAGACCCAGCAGCAACAGGCCAGAGGTCTGAGCTATGAAGTAGGATTTTGTGTTATCCAGGTAACATCGGGGTTTTCAGTACTACAAAGATGGACCACTTACTTACTGGGTAACTTATGAGATGAGATAGCCTTTATTTGTCAGTTGCAGGTCTTTTGCCCACAACCGAGATGACAGACCTTGCCGACCGTACATACAATACAAACATCACATTGGGGAGACAGGTCAGGCCAGGTAGCGAGGGAAAAAAAACATTGAAATGTGCAACACAAAAGGATAATACAGGAATGCACAGATATCAACACACCATAACACAATAAACACAGACAGCAACATGGGAAAGTGTTCCAGTGTGTACATCTGATCTGGGACCGCTGCAATCTTTCTACTGCGCCTCCAGCTGACCCAATGTCCACATCATGGGGGAGGTAAGCGTTGGAGGTGGCGTTGGATCCGGGGTAGGGAGGGTGATGCGTCGGTGAGTGCTTATCAGTATCAGTATATGTATGTGTGTGCGTGTCCATAGTTCAGCTGAGACAGTGTCCTTCGCCCTGCCAGGCTAAGTAAACAGTCTTCCAGCCAACCCAGGTGGCCTTGCATGGAATGGGAAGGAACAGACTCAACACAGTCGTTATCAGAGAGTTGTTGTTCGGCTCCAGCCTTGAGCTGGCGCCAAAGGGGTAGCCGGGTTATGATGGAGAATTTCAAGCTGTTTTTTAACACTCCGACACTGGTCTCTCAGTCTCCCGTTAATAGCTGCGAGCTTCTCCGTGATGTTATTAGCTGTCGATTTTGTGGTCTTGTCACTCTTTTTGCTCACCTAGCAGATTCTGAGACCTCACGACCGCAGCCAACTGATCCGAGGTGTAATCCAGCTCCGCCCAGAGATGTTGTTCTGAGTTGATTCTTTCCTGATGTAATCCAACATACATACGCTCAAAGGTGTTATTCTGAGCATTCACTGCAGTCGTAAGTGCCTCCAAGCTCTTAACCATGCTGCCTTCAGTGAGCCCTTTCTGAGAAGTCGCACCTGTCGTTCCAATCCCAGCGGGCAGCCTTGTGGGGGTTTGAACAGCCGGTTCCGCTCTCTTAATTCTCCGATAAGCCAGGGCCAAGCCAGCGATCAGCAAGAACCCTGTTATCATGGTTCCGAATATGTAGATATCTTCAGCGTCCTCGATCGACAGTCCAGCCAGGCACACGATCCTCTGCCACCCGTCCATCGTGTATCCGGCAGGGAAAGTCCCTCCAGGGCACTCGGGTTCTCCCGAGCCCAGACTTCTCGTTAAAGTGTGTCAATAGCAAATCTTCTGCAAATCTAACCTGCTCCGGAGTAGGTCGGGTTCAAGATTAAAGAACAACAAGTATAAATCATCACCAGTACTCCAGAAAATAGCATCAGCATTCCTGGAAGATCGTTGGACTTCTTTACACAGATTGTATAAGGGCCTTAAGTTTTTTTTTTAATAGCATCTAAAGTCTAAATCAGCCAGTCTGTTGCCAGTACACTTATCAATAACTGTGATTGGTCAGACGCTGCCAAAAACCACTCTTGCGTTAACTTATGGAGAGAATAACACTCTTCGTGTGACCTCTTATCCTGACTGTTAGGATAAGTGAATCCAGATAACGGAAATCTACCCTGGGTATGTTCAACTTGTTTTGTACAGGCCTTAGCTGTCACAGCCTCTACACAAAGACAACAAATGCACTTCTTTATTTAGAAGGAAGTCATTGCACTGCATCCTCTGAAGACAGCCATCATCAGTAACCATGTACGATTTAATGAAGTGTTATGACTTTAGCCACATAATTGTTTAATGAAGAGAGAACGGCTTACTTTGCCATAGTGATGAGGCCCACGTTGTTTTCTGGATTGCTGCGTGTTTTGGAGTGGCAGACAATGTTGACAGCATCCTGCTGAGCCTGTAGCCTCGTTGGTAGGAAGTCTCCATTTCTCATGTACTCGCTGTTGTCCACACTGAAGAGGAAACAGCACGTTAATGTGTACTCCATCACAAAGCTTAAGAGTTAGTAAGCGTTCACGTAATTCATTATCAGCCATAACCTACATTGGCCGAATGGGTAATATAATATATTCACCGGGAGAAGCAATAAACAAAAGTTTAGCCGCTATAAAGCGTAACAGGGTAAAAACAGTCACAGCTAGCACGGCTTGCTAACGTTAGCGAGAGGTGACTCTACATATGCCGCTGGAAAACAATCAAGTAACCGCTGGTGTCAGTTAATAATTTAGGCAGAAAACACCAAACTGTAACCAGCGACATTCTGGAAATTAAGTCTCCTGGCTTGCAGGTAAATAAATACTTTAATAAGACCTCAAATCTAGGCTAACTTTAGCTACAATGACTCAGCCGGTCGATATTGCGTTAGCCGGCCCACAATCAACTGTGCATTATCAGCCTGGCTGGCAGCGACATTTACCCCATATGCAGCTCGGTGAGCCCCCTTATAAAGTAACTTACTGGTACACCTCCATATGAACCGCTAACGGGTTTATAAACACACACGAAAATACATTTGTAGAGTTCTTACCAGACCATAGTACTTTCAAGCACCATTTTGGAAACTTCTTGTTGCTTTCTGTCGTAATCCAACAAGCTCACAGATTATTGGACGACGGTTGAACAAAGCGAAATATGATTGGACAAGTCTTGTCTCCTTCAGGTTGTAGAGAGCTAGAGAGTATAATTAGAGCTGGTCTTTACTATTTAGAAGTTCTTTAGGGAGGGGGAACTGGTTTAATAAGAATTAAACTAGTTCATACAGGTTTACCCCCGAAACATTTTCTTCGTCAAACCATTTATAGGCTTTGTCTTCAGTAATAACCTATAGATTAACTCATTTATCACCCCCGAATCATCTTTTCTTTTCGGCTGGTGCCTTTAGGGGTCGCCATCATCTATTCCTTGCATCCTCCTCTGTCACACCAGTCTTCTGCATGTCCTCATTCACTACATTTATGAATCTCTTCTGAGGTCTTCCTCTTTTCCTCCAAATTCAGCATCTTTTGTCCAGTATATCCGCTGTCCCTCCTCTACATATCCGAAATATTACAGCCTTGCCTCTCTAACCTTGTCTCCAAATCGCTCGATCCAGCTGTCCCGCATATGTATTCATTTTTAATCTTGTCCCTTCTGGTCACTGCTAATGAAATTTTTAACATCTTTAGATATGTCAGCTCTAGTTTCAGCTCCATCTTTGCCAGCAACTCCAAATCATACATCATAGCAGGTCCCACAATCTTGCAAACCTTCAAGTCCCTTCTTGCTGCTCTCCTTCTTTCACAAATCAGCCTTTATACTCAGTTCTACCAACGCCACCCTGCCTGCACTCTCTTGTGCACTCACCTTCACTGTAGCGTCCCTCTCATTCACAGTCATGTTTAATAATCTGAACGAATACAATTATTTCCCAACTGGCCACCACAGCAGATGAATCCACATGTTTATTTTAAACAGTTCAGAGTAGGAAAAAAATACAGGATGATTTAAAACAGTTACAGCAGGAGGCTTTAAAAAAAACAGTTTCATGTCTTCAATTCAGGTTTGCCATGCTGGAGCAAGCAATTTTCAATCCACCACAATTACAAATAAACATTAGAGAGACCAGAGTAATACATACATTATATAACGCTGTAATAAATAGGGCTACGTGTGCATCTGTTTGGAACCATTAAGACTTTTATTGTCGGGACAGGGCATCACCTCAGAGTTTGGTTTAACAGACAAGTGAATTAAATAATCTACAAATGCGGTTTGCCTTTATATAATTCCTCCTGGTGGGAAAATTGTCAACTGGTTTAAATTATTGCACAGTTTTTTCACTGAAATATGCGGTGTAAACAAAAAAGCATCCCTTAAGTTACAGTTTTCTTATATCCTTATATGCATCTCAGCATTTTTAGACATCAAACACTTGGGAAGTATTTGCAGTTTAACATGAGCCAAACATAACGCCAAGTTAAGACATTGTACATGAGAATAAAAACATTTTGTTTTGTGTTTTACAGTAAATATAAAGTCTACACATCCCTGTTAATATGCCAGCTATTTGTGATATATAAAACTAAATAAAATAAAAAATTAGATTGTTTTTCCATCTTCAGTGCGACCTATAACTACACAGTTTAACTAAAACATAAACTGAAAACATAAGTGTTGACAACCTCGGATAACTGCAATCAAATTTGTGTTAAGTAGTCTGCACACACCTGCCATCTTTTGATCAAAACCACATATAATTCAGATGTTCTAGTGAGATGTTCCTGATATTTACATAGCTGCATCTTAAAGTC